CCCCCCCCCAGTTACTTTTCTTAGCTGTTGCAGATGCGCCGCTGCTCTCCCTTGGAGTATGGACTCTGCGGCCTCCAGGATAAAGTGTCAACACTTTGGAATGCCTTATGAGACCCTGGTTTTTATTGTGGTAAACCATGCGTAGCCAAATGTATCGTTTTAATCGCTTTTAAGCGTACGGTTCGGTGGCGTTCAGTGCATTCTTCTTGTTGCGCAGCCATCGTCGCTCTGCATCTCCAGAACCCTTTTCACCTTCCCAAGCTGAAGCTGTGCCCAATAACACGAAATCTTTCCCCCCTTCATCTCCCCCGGCCACCGGTAACTGCCACTCTACTTTCTGTCACTTGAGTTCGACTACTCGAGGTACCTCGTGTAAGTGGAGGCATACAGACGTTCTTCTGTGTCTGGCTTATTTCGTTTAGTCCGCATCGTGTCCTCAAGCGTCAACCATGATGTAGCATGTGTCAGAACCTCCTTCCTTTTTAAGGTTAAATAAAATTACATTGTATATACAAGGTGCATCCTTTCCCCAAAATGCTTGGGACCAGAAGTGTTTCAGATGTGCGATTTTTTTCAGGTGTGGAGGAATTTGCGTTGTACTTACCAGTTGCGTTCCCAATTTGAAATGCTCCCGTGAGCATTTTCTTTACCCTTCCAGTCAGAGCTCAAAAAGTTTAAGATTTTGAGTTTTGGGATGAGCATACTTAACCTGTATGTATACTGCATTTTGCTTGTTCACTCATCACTGGACATGGATTGCTTCCACCTTTGGGCGATTGTGACTAGTGCTGCTATCTTAGGAAATTTTGATATACTTAAAGCCATAATTTAATTTCTATTTCCCCACCTTTGGCAATATTATTCTTGGTCTGACAGCTACTCAACCTTCAAAGCCTGGCTAAAGACTCATCCCTTTGCGGAAACTTGTAAGCCATTTTGGGTAGCACAAATCCTTTCTTCCCTTATGCTCCCAGGATGCCATTTTCATATATCTCTGGCAATGTAACATATACCTCACCTGTCAGTCACCTCATCTGGAATTTGAATCCTACTCTCAATCCCCAGCCACCACACCATATTACAAAGGTTCTCAATAAATGTTTTATTTCAACAAATAATGTGCTTTCACTTTACCTGCAACTAGATGCTGGAGATTAATGATAAAGCAAATAATCCCTGTACTTCGTTTTTTAAAAATGCCAACTCTCACAAAATCATCTTTAGTTCATCACTACTTGTGGAATAAAGTTCAAATTCTTCGCCACTCACCACTCTTTCCGTTTTTATCTTCCAAAACCAGGCAGTTATCATCTTCACTACACTACCTTCTCTGACTTGGCCACATACTTGCACATGTCTATAGTCCGTCTCTCTACTACCATTTTTTTTTTTAACGTTTTGACTCTGAAGGGCTGAATTTCAATGCCACCTTTCATATATATGTGTGACTCTTCTAGATATCCCTGTGGTCAGACTTAGTTTGTATTACCCTAGGATATCTTTGTCATAGGTTTACATGTCTGTTCTCTGGATAGACAGGAAGAGTGTCAACCCTAGGGTAGGAACAAAGCCATCTTCAGCATCAGGTACCACTGTTACAGTGCTTTAAACATAGTGTTGTTTAATATTTAGGAGGGTCAGAACATGCTGTATTTGGAAGAGGAATTGAGTTTTCCTCAAAACTAATCTGTATTACATTAAAAGAACAGAAAGTAAGTTTTTTTTATATGATAGTGTGCTTTACCTTTTGAAACAAAAATACCAGCTTTATTTAATATATATGTGTTTCCCTTTTCCTGAAGCCTTGAATAGTGAAGCACCTCATTTCTGTGTTCTTATTTTGCTTCTTAAGTCCTGTGACTAATCTGTCAGTTTTCAAATTCCCTACAGATATTGATCTTTGGATTTTAGCCTGCATTTTCTGATTTAACATTTTCCAATCTTAATAATACATAACAACAATAAAAGAACTGTATTTGTTGACTGGAATGTGTTAAATCAAGAAATTTAGTTTAAATTCCAAAGACCCAATTTTTCTATATTCCAGGCATTTTGCAAATCACTTTATAAGCATTCTTTGATTTAATCTTCCCAGCAATTTTATGAGCTATAGTGATGTCTTAATCTGATTTTTTTAAAGAATAACAAAAAGAATGCCTAGAGGGGATAAGTAACTTACCCAAGTAACAGAACTACTAATTATGGACCTGTCTGACCCTAAAACTGATGATCTTTAGCCAATATACTGACTTATCAGGCATTTAGATTCTTTTACTGCCTGTTTCTTCAGTTTAGTCTCTTACATGTATCTACAGGTTCCAGAGCAGTGATGGAGAAATTAAGTACTTGCAATTAGCAGACGAGCTGATTCGTCCTGAGAGAAACACATTGGTTGTGAGTTTTGAGGACCTGGAACAATATAATCAGCAACTTTCTACCACCATTCAAGAGGAGTTCTATAGGTATGGGTGTATTAATCTTTTTTACTTTGAATAGAATTGGAACCTGGGACGCCAACTCTTCTTAGACTGAAAGTGTTCACTTGTGAGGCAGAAGGGCAGCTGTCACAGTTATTATTTCCCTCTGAGGAGAGGCCTTTTTATAGTATCAGTGGTCTTTTTAGTAGTAATGCTCCAAACTAAATGTAGGCCCTGATGGAGCTGAATTTTTTTTCATGTGCAAATGTTGAAAAATCCTTTCTTCCTTTTTTTTTTTTGAATTGGAGTCTCTGTCACCCAGACTGGAGTGCAGTGGCCACTCCTGGCCACCGCAGCCTCTACCTGCTGGGCTCCAGCGATCCTTCCGCCTCAGCCTTCCGAGTAGCCAGAAACAGCCATGCGCTACCACGCCCGGCTGACTTTTGATTTATTGTAGAGATGAGGTCTTGCCAAGTTGCCCAGGCGGGTCTCGAACCCGCAGGCTCAGGCAATTCACTCACCTCAGCCTCCCAAGGCGCGGGATTATAGGCTGAGCCACCGAGCCCGGCTCCTTTCTTTCTATATAGTTTTCCCAATAGGAAAATTGTACTTTGTGTCATTCCATTGGTCCTTTTCCCAAAAAAGGAATAGGTGTTTATGGGAATTCTGTTCTTGCATCAAAGATATCTTTACAAATGACTTTGTTATATTCTTATTTCCTTAAGGTTTAATTTTTTCTGATTATGAAAGTGTTAAGTGTGTAGTATTGAAAATAGACAAAAGTAGGGAGATTTAAATCATCTGTATACACACTTGTAATCCCACCAGTCATAGATAACCACAATTAGCAGGTTTGTTGCAACAGATTTCCAAGAGTCTTCTAAATCTGTAAGTGCAGAGTTTTGTAAGGATGTTCTGTCATATTTTGATGTCTGTGTATATGTAATTATTAAATGTCATGTAAGGTTTCTTGAGAACATTTTAATAGCTCCACTGGTGTTTTTTTGGTAGAAATAGTATGATTAGATATTATACTTAATAACTTAGGCTTTCATTTTGTTTTTGTTATGTAGAGCAAGAAACATCTTTGTACACAAATCTTTGTCTGCATTTGGATTAAATAAATGTAATCTATAAAAATAAAGTCAGGTTAAAATAAACATTGTGGACAGTTGAGAAAGAGAAATGAAGACCCAGGGATAAGGAAACACAGTCCTTTTCTTTTCCTGATGGATTGGGAGATGAAGGACTTGTCTCAGTATTTCTAGTCATAGCTGACCATCAAGAATAGTTGGAGGGATAAGCAGCAGAGTTTATTATGAAAGCATGCAGCAGTAAAAGTTGTGAAGTTCAGGAAAGTAAGACAGGGGTAAAAAATCAAGCCTGGTAGAAGCAGCTGTATCACACCTCATAATAAAGCTATATAGTAGTTCTTATTCCTGAAAGGAGCATTTTTCCCGAGGGCTTTCAGATTCTACTGCTTAAACAAATGAAGCTGCAGCAGCTATTGAAAACTTATATCAAAAGTTTCCTTCAGTCTAACCAGTCAAAAGGAGCATTTCTACCAGTTTGCTCATGTATTGGTACGTAAATACCATCTCTGTTCTCATCCATTTCTAATCAGTCAAGAATGAAACAAGGCCTGAATGTAGTGGCTCACACCTGTAGTCCCAGTACTTTGGGAGGCCAAGGCCAGATGATAGCTTGAGGTCAGGAGTTCAAGACCACCCTGGACAACATAGTGAGACCATGTCTCTACAAAAAATAAAAAATTATCTGGGCATGCTGGCTCATGCGCATAGCCCCAACTACTGAGGAGGCTGCAGTGGGTTATGATTGTGACACTCACTTCAGCCTGGGGGCCAGAGCAAGACCCTGTCTCAAAAAAAGAAACAAACAAATAGACTAGAACTTGACACTAAACAGGAGTTTGTCTTACTAGGTTGTAAAGAGCCCAGAGAAAACTCAAAATATTGAGTACCAATCATGCTGGCAAGATGATAGTCCAAGTCGAGCCAAGATCCACGTCGAATCTTGGACAGAGGAGTAGCCTACAGTGTGGGTGCTAAATGATTTATTTGAGGAAGTAAATAACTCAGGTTTGACATTTTATTTTTGGTGTGTGTTTCTGGTTTTTTTTTTTTGAATGGGCAACCTAATGAGCCAGAGGAGATTCAGAGAGACTCCCTGTCTTTGGTGTTTTTATTTGTGGTGGGATAGACACCTAAACCCAAACTAGGTAATAGAAGCGTCCTGCGCAGCTAAGTTCTAAGACTTGGTTGTGATCAGATGTCGATGGGCATTAAAGGGACTTTTAAAAAATTTCTCATTTGTTTTTCAGAGTTTATCCTTATCTGTGTCGGGCCTTGAAAACCTTTGTCAAAGACCGTAAAGAGATCCCTCTTGCCAAGGATTTTTATGTTGCATTCCAGGACCTGCCTACCAGACACAAGTAAGAAATGCTTCTTTGGGAGAACAGGAATTCACCACTTAACTGGCAGTCAGAAAACTTGAGATATTGCCTTGGTCTGCTATTGGCTAGCTGCTATTAACATCACACAAATCACTTTTACCTCACTGGCCTCTGTTCTTACCTGTAAAATCTTTTGGCTTAGGTTTGCTGCCTAAATCATGCAAAAGGTAAGTTTGTTGCTGTAAAATTACTTTTTCATGATTGGTAGTGACAATAATTGTTTAAAAAAAAAAAAGTCTTAAAAAATTAATGCTATAAAATACCAAGAGGAAAAAATACTGTTTTGCATGCACATTTTATAGAAGATGAACTTTTGTAAGAGTTATGCAGTTACCTAGGTTTAACTCTAGAGAAAAAAAAATGTTTTTCTATGGAGATGTAATTGGAAGTAGGTGAAGTGAAGCAGAATCTTAGGATTGTCACATTTTAGGACACCTTTTAGGGAAGTTTGGGGGAAGGTAGTCAAGTGAGAAAATAGGAAAACTGAGAATAGTTGCAGAAATTCTTGACTCTGTAGAAAGTTTTGCCAGCTTGAATGTATCAGTGGTTTCAGAAATTTACAGAAGAACTGGAAGTGATTATTTGAAAGCATAAACTATTGAAATTACCTTATAAAGTATTTCTGAACTTCTGAGTACAAAATTTTTTCCCATACTAACTTTATTATGAAAGTAACACATGCTTTTGCAGAAATTTTAGGTAAGCAAAAAAAATGTATTTGCATATAAGACAAATAGGATCATTCTCTTATAATTTTGATTTATTTGCTGTGCTTTATATTGATTTATTTATATATTTTGCTGTGCATGTGTATACATTGTATAATTTAGGTATGGGCATGTTGATTAAATCATTCTTGTAGGAGAGACCAAATAATACCTTGTCTCTTTATTTTTAAGCATAAATTGTCATGGGATACCCTCTCATTAAAATGGATAGGTCTCTTCGTTGGGAAATGACTGTTTGCTAATGGGACATCTGTCTTTAAACAGGATTCGAGAACTCACCTCATCCAGAGTTGGTTTACTCACTCGCATTAGTGGGCAGGTGGTGCGAACTCACCCAGTTCACCCAGAGCTTGTGAGTGGAACTTTTCTGTGCTTGGACTGTCAGACAGTGATCAAGGATGTAGAACAGCAGTTCAAATACACACAGCCAAACATCTGCAGAAATCCAGTTTGTGCCAACAGAAGGAGATTCTTGCTGGATACAAATAAATCAAGATTTGTTGATTTTCAAAAGGTATTTTACTTCTGCTTATGTCAGATTCATTCTTTGCCAATTATTCACTTCTAGGCCTTGGCAAGTGTTCATTTAGATAATGTTAAACTCAATTTTTATGTAAGTTTAGTATCATCAAAAGTGACTACAAGGCCAGGTGTGATGCTTCACACCTATAATTCCAGCACTTTGGGAGGCCAAGGTGGGTGAATTGCTTGAGTCTAACAGTTTGAGACCAGCCTAAGCAATATAGTGAGAACTTGTCTCTACAAAAAATTAGCTGGGCTTGGTGGCACACACTTGTTGTCCCAGCTACTTGGGAGGCTGAGGCAGGAGGATCACCTAAGCCCAGGAAGTCAGGGCTTCAGTGAGTTGTGACTGCCACTGCATTCTAGCCTGGGCAACAGAATAAAACCTGACTTTTAAAAAAAAGTGACTACAGGTATAAGCCTAAAATTCTTAATATATAAAAGTTTCAGTTGTCGGTATATAGATGTGTTTTAACCTTTAATAACATGTACTAGAAGTTCCTTGAAACTGACAAGATGTATTTGCCAAAGAAAAAACAATAACTATATTGTTATTATGAACTGGAGTTAAGAAAACTTTGAAGAAGTAGCAACTTGTTAATGTAAGACATTGATTTGGGGGAAAGGAAGAAGTCATGAATATATGAACAAGCTAAGATGGATGCAATAAGGATTATTTTGATTGAAGTAAAAGAGTCAGATTGGAGATCATTTGAGAGATGATTTGATATGAGGTCTGTAGGTGCTTATATTCTTAAATCTCAGGCTGAGAAGTTTGAGCCTATCTTAGGAAGCAGTGAGAATATATTTTGTTGCATGTGGGTGGTGAATTTCTTCTGTTCTTTTAAAGGACGTTTAATAGGGCAGTAGTGTGTAGTATTGAAGAGACTACTGGGCAGTAGTGATTATCTGGGCAAGAAGTGATGGATGTGAGCTATAAGAGTAAAGAGGAACTTTATGGGATATACAAAAAGGAAAGAAAAGTTGAAGCAGCTTGAGAATGGGGGAATGATAATGATTATCAGAGATAAATAATAATTAAACTCATTTTTTAGCTGTCAGTTTTCTTTTTTATTTGAGTCAGAGTCTCTATCGCCCAGGCTGGAGGGCAGTGGCACACACACACACAGCTACCCTAGCCTCAACCTACTATGCTCTGACAATCCTTCCACCTCAGCCTTCCAGGTAGCCAGAACTACAGGCACGTGCTACCACACCCGGCTAATTTTTATTTATTTATTGTAGAAACAAGGTCTCGCCAAGTTGCCTGGGCTAGTCTTGAACCTACGGGCTCAGACGATCCACTCACCTTGGCCTCCCAAAGTGCTGGGATTACAGGCTGAGCCTCCGAGCCTGGTCTAGTTTTCTTATATTGACTTGATAGCTTATAAGAAGCACATATTCTGCCAAGAGCATTGGGTAAGAGATGCTTTATATTTTTAAAAGAACATGATAACAACAAACTATATTTCAAAGTATGAATCAAGATTGAATCTTGATTTGGGGGGAATATACAGCTGTAATAAAGGACATTATGGACAACTGATACTTTTGAAGATGGACTAGGTTGTACAAGATATGTATTGTTAAGGAATTAAATAGTAATTCTCTTGTCTGTGATAAAGGTATTGTGGTTATGTAAGAGGTTGTCTTTATTGTTAGGATGAGTGCTAAAATATTGAGGTGTGAAGTTTCTTGATGTTTATAACTTCTTTCAAATATACAATAAAAAATTTGTGCATCTTAAATAATGTTAACAGTTGTGTTGAAGTGGATGGCTTTCATAAAATTCTCTTAAAGTTTAGGGGAAGATGGAACACAAAACAGATATTTACAGAGTCATTTTGAACAGAGGAAAGTATATATTTTTAAATTAGAGTAAAAATGAGGTTTTTTTAACTTTTCAAGTTGAACTTGTTGACTAAAGGGACTTTCAGGGTAGATACGTTTTTAGGATGAAACGTACAAGTCAAAAGTCTGCTAAAAGGTAAGATGGTTTAGAATATGTCAGTATTTATGGCATTTAATTTAAATTGTTTGGCATCTGAAAGGGATTTCTTCCCATTCCTGGCAATTTGTCTTCATTACAGGTTCGTATTCAAGAGACTCAAGCTGAGCTTCCTCGAGGGAGTATTCCCCGAAGTTTAGAAGTAATTTTGAGGGCTGAAGCTGTGGAGTCAGCTCAAGCTGGTGACAAGTGTGACTTTATAGGGACACTGATTGTTGTGCCTGATGTCTCCAAGCTTAGCACACCGGGTCGGTAATCTGTGGCTCAAGTTTAACAAATTCTCAGATACCTAAACTGCAGCATATCTAACTTCTCACATCCTTATCTTTTTTTGGGTGCTAATCAGAAATTGAGCAAGGAAGTAAAAATAAAAATAAATTGATTTTGCTATAAAATGAAACCTTTGGATTTATAGCTTTCATTTATTTGAGCAATTTTGGTTCTTAGCACCTTTAATATTTGATCTGTGAAAGAGCCTATCATTCAATCTTTCAGGAGCACGTGCAGAAACTAACTCCCGTGTCAGTGGTGTTGATGGATATGAGACAGAAGGCATTCGAGGACTCCGGGCCCTTGGTGTTAGGGACCTTTCTTACAGGCTGGTTTTTCTTGCCTGCTGTGTTGCACCAACCAATCCAAGGGTGAGTCTTAATAGAATGGCAAAGCTTGAGAAAGACCTCCCCTGAGGCTGCCGTAAAGTTATAGTCTTTGGAAACATCTGAGTTATCTAGTCAATGTTAAAAGTCGGGTTGGAATTTGATTCTTCAGTTTTAAAACCAAGTCTTTTCATTTCTATCTTTCTGACCTTGAACAGTCTTGTTTTCATATGTAAGCACTCGATACTTTAAGTGCAGTGATATAAAATTATCCACGTTGCTGTTTTTTGTTTTAAGTATTACAATTCCTCTGTTCTCCTGGAGGAAGTACAGATAAAAAGACTTAGTAATCTGGGAATTAAATTGCTATTTATAGGAGTGATGGACCCCTGGCAGTGTTGTTCATTATTTTGATTCTGTGTCCTAAATGGGAATTTGTAAAATAGTCCAGTGTTGGAAAAAGGGAGTAAACATAATATTCTTTTACTTCATTTACATCTTTATATGAGTGATTAACATTCCACTATGGCTCATCTCTTGAGCATTCACATTCATTTAAATATTGATGTAAAATAATGTTGGTAGCTTTTTTTTAATGTTTAACTCATTGGACAAATGGCAAACCCTTAAGTGTCTTCATTGAGTGGTCACTAGTTTGGGGAGTTCTTTTTAAAAAAAGCCTTTATAACCTCCCAGGCTGTGCTTTATAATGAATTTTTTTCTCTACTCTATTTTGGCTGCTTCTATACTAATAATTCTTCCTTTGTTCTCCACCCTCAGTTTGGAGGGAAAGAGCTCAGAGATGAGGAACAAACAGCCGAGAGCATTAAAAACCAAATGACCGTGAAAGAGTGGGAAAAAGTGTTTGAAATGAGCCAAGATAAAAATCTGTACCACAATCTTTGTACCAGCCTCTTCCCTACTATACATGGTAAGAATTCTATCCATTGTGACATAAACTTGAAATCAAAATAATAATTTTAAATAGCAACAAGTAATTCCTTTTTTTTTTTGAGTTGGAGTCTCACTCTGTCACCCAGACTGGAGTGCAGTGTCACACTCCCAGCCACCGCAGCCTCAACCTGCTGGGCTCCAGCGATCCTTCTGCCTCAGCCTTCCAAGTAGCTGGAACTACAGGCATGCGCTACCATGCCCAGCTAATTTTTGATTTATTGTAGAGACGAGGTCTCGCCAACTTGCCCAGGCGGGTCTCGAACCTGCAGGCTCAGGCGATCCACTCACCTCGGCCTCCCAAAGCGCTGGGATTACAGGCTGAGCCACCGAGCCCAGCCAACAAGTAATTTCTTAAAGCATGTGAGATCCTGAAAGATTTTAGCAGATTCAGAAGGGGTAATTTACAAAAGGATAAATATATGGTTCCACTTATTTGAGGTACCTAGAATTGGCAAATCATAGACACAAAGTAGAATAGAGGCTATCAGTGGCTGGAGGGAATAGGAGAAATAAGTTGTTGTTTAACAGATAAAGTTTGTATTTTAGATGATCAAAGAGCTCTGTAAAGGGGTAGTGGTGACAGTTATGCAACATAATATACTTAGTGCCGCTGACCTATATACTTAAGAATGGTTAAAATATTCAACCTGAGAATGCTGATTGAAAAAAAGTTGCTGAGGTGAGTGAATTGCCTGAGCCCACAGGTTCGAGACCTGCCTGGGCAGCGAGACCTCATCTCTACAATAAATCAAAAAGTCAGCCGGACGTGGTAGCGCATGCCTGTAATTCCGGCTACTTGAAAGGCTGAGGCGGAAGGATCGCCGGAGCTCAGCAGGTCAAGGTTGTGGTGGCTGGGAGCGGCCACTGCACTCCAGTCTGGGCGACAGAGTGAGACTCCAACTCAAAAAAATACATAAAAAAAGAAAATAATTAAAAATGGAAGGTCTTGAGAAAGACCTCCCCTGAAACTGCCATAAAGTTACAGTTTTTAGAAACTGAGTTTTGTTATATTTTATCACAATTTTTTTATTTTTTTGAGTTAACTGTCTATACCTTTGGCAGTTTCTTTCACATTTTCCTAACTCTTGGCTACTGGCTGCTCACTGTCAAGTCATTAAATCTCCTTTGTGTATCGAAGGTTATGACTGAATTTTTGCACCCAATGATTTATCCCTGAATTCTTCTGTCCTTGTCTTCCACATCCACTTGGAGTTATAACCAGAACTCGTAAAATTATGGGTATTTCTCTAAGGTATATATTTTCAGTCATTTAAAATTATTCTTTTTTTCTTGTCTAAGTAGGTGGTCAGTGAAATAACAAACCCTTTATGTTAATCCTTATGGACTTTAGAGTGTCTTTTCTTATCCTGAATGGGTATCAATTTTTTTTCTTTGAGTTGGAGTCACTTTTGCCCAGGCTGGAGTGCAGTGGCACACTCACATGCAGCAGCCAGGGGTAGAGCAGGGTATTTGCTTCCCTGTTGGTGAGCATTATGTTCACGTTCATGTTCATGTCATTATGTTCATATTCATGCTCATGTTCATGTCAGCGCCATTTTCTGCCTCCCAGCTCTTACCAAAAAAACGTTTCTTTTAACAGCACAGTGTTTGTTTCTTTAAGAAAATTGTACATTTCCTGAAATACTGGATTTATGAACAGTTCTTAAAAACAGCTGTACATGGCATTCAGTATCTTATTTAATTCATATCAATTCAGTTAGCATGTATTCAGTGCTGCTCACTATAGGTGATGAAAAAGAAGTGTCATTAGCTATTTCCTCAAACTTCTTTTGTTTTGTTTTTTGAGTTGGAGTCTCACTTTGTCACCCAGGCTAGAGGGTAGTGGCCGCTCCCGGGTAGGTCTCGAGCCCTTGGGCTCAGGCAATCCTCTCACCTCGGCCTCCCAAAGTGCTGGGATTACAGGCTGAGCAACCAAGCCCAGCCTCAAACTTTTTTTTTTTTTTTTTGAGTTGGAGTCTCACTCTGTCACCTAGACTGGAGTGCAGTGGCCGCTCCCGGCCACTGCAGCCTCGACCTGCTGGGCTCCGGCGATCCTTCCGCCTCAGCCTTCCAAGTAGCCAGAATTACAGGCATGCGCTACCACGCCCAGCTGATTTTTTGATTTATTGTAGAGATGAGGTCTCGCTGCCCAGGTGGGTCTCGAACCCATGGGCTCAGGCAATCCACTCACCTCAGCCTCCCAAAGATGCGGGATTACAGGCTGAGCCACCGAGCCCGGCTAACCTCAAACTTTTAATAGATCTATAAGAGCTGTCATTAGTAAGGACTAGCAAATGTGGTATGCTGTGGTGGGCATAGCTCATTTATGAAGAGGGACTCTTGAGGACTAAAGCAATGGAAAGTAGGCCCCCTAGACAAGGAAAGACTCAGGATGGTAAGCATCAGCATCTATAATACAGGATAAAGCATTGAAACAGTGGTTAGTCCACAGAGCAAGAACAAAGATCAGAAGCCAGCAATTTTTACTCTAGTTTCATGCTTTGCTTTAGCTATCTCTGCCTTTTGGTTGATAAACTCATCTTTACATTTTCTCTGGAATTGTTTACTTCATGTTGAAAAAAGGAGTTTGTCATCTGTGGCTTCTTTTTATTTCAGGCAATGATGAAGTTAAACGGGGTGTCCTGCTGATGCTCTTTGGTGGTGTTCCAAAGACAACAGGGGAAGGGACCTCTCTTCGTGGGGACATAAATGTTTGCATTGTTGGTGACCCAAGTACAGCTAAGAGCCAATTTCTCAAGTAAGTGTTTGAGGTAGTACAGCGAGAAAAGCAGTGTACATAGTTTCAGACTTGCTGAACTACCAATAATATAGTCAGTATGGCTTTACTAGAGCAGGAGGACTGTAAATTATGACTATATTGAGTATATAACTATTAAATTAAATTTTTAAATAGGATGTGAGAACATTTTACAGTTTTTTTGAAAAGGGAAAAATTTCCTATAATTCCAGTCTCACATTGAATTCTTTAATCTGTGTATAGTATCTTTGTATAACCTTTATATGTTTTTTAATACATGACTGTTTATCATAAACCACAGTGTGCATATTTCTAATTTTAATTTATCCCAAACGTTTTTCCAGTTGTCTTTTTTTGTTGGTGTACTTTAACTTAAAGGTGATTTTCTTAGCCCTGTTAAATAATTTAATAGAGTGGTTTCTTATAATGATAATAGATACTAATATAGTCACCATAGTGTATATACCATAATGTATATGGTGTTTATAATATACACCATAGTGTATATACAGTTGTGTGTTTGCTTATTTGTTTTGTTCGTTTGGTTGGTTTTGAGTTGGAGTCTCACTTTGTCACCCAAGCTCTGTACAGTGGCATGCTCATGGCCACACAGGGTTTAGATGATCCTTCCACCTCATCCTTCCAAGTAGCTGGAACCACAGGCATGCACCACCACACTTGGCTGATTTTTTTTAATTAATTGTAGAGACGTCTTACTGTGTTGCTCTGGCTGGTCTTAAACCTCTGAGCTCAGACAGTCCTCTTCTGGCTTCCAAAGAGCTAGGATTACAGGCATGAGCCACCATGCCTGGCCTATAGTTTTTGTTGTTTCCTTTGGGTAAATTGCTAGGTATAGGATTGCTGAGTCTAAATAAAAGCATCTGTAAGGTTTTTAAGTAGGACACACTTTCCAGAAGCAATGCTATAAGACATTTTATGCTAACTTCATTAGCATGAGCACTATTTTTGCTTATTTTTAGAAGCTATAAAAAATACTTGGTTGCTTTCAAACTCTTAAGAAACTTAGGGCTCAAAATAAAAGCAGCCAATTTCTGAGCACGTGCTATATTCTTAGTGCTGTATATTTGTGTTATATTTTAGCCTAGCAGCACCTAGGCAGGCATGTGTTGTTACCCTCTTTTATTCAGGGAGTCAGAAATTCTCCAAGCCTCAATAACTTACCCAACTTCTTATAGGTGACAAGTGACACTGAGCTATGAGTATAAAAATTCAGATGTAGTTGCCTGCATGATCTTCATACATCAAACTGCCTTTTTTTGTTTTGGAAATTTGTAGCATATAGAACATTTTTCGTTGGTTTGAAGTGTTATGATTAAATATTTCCTTCAAGCATATCACAAACTGAGTTTGAGATTTGAAGGCAGTAGCCTTGTGTTAAAAGAGACACTTTTTTTTACCTGTAATTCCCTGTTCTCATCTCCCTGCTACCAAAAAAGATATACTACAATGGTGCCTCTGATAACGGTATTTTGTTATACTTGATTGTCTTAGTGATAAGATCTGATATAATGATAGTTGAGCACATCTTCTTGCCTAATTGCCCTTGACTAGAGCCATCAGTATAATGTTGAATAAAAGTGGTAAGAGCAAACATCCACGTGTTGTTCCTGCTCCTGATCTTAGGGGCAAAGCCTTCAGCCTTTAGCCTTTAAGTATGATCTTATCTCTGGGTTTTTATGGATGTCCCATATCATGGATGTCCTTTTATCAGATTTAAGAATATCTCTTCAGGCTGGGCTCGATGGCTCAGCATGTAATCCTAGCACCAGCCTGGGTAACTTGGTGAGATCTCGTCTCTACAATAAATAAATTTTAAAAATTAGCCAGGTGTGGTAGTGCACTCCTGTAGTTCCAGCTACTTGGAAGACTGAGGCAGAAGGATCGCCGGAGCCCAGCAGGTCGAAGCTGGGATGGCTGTGAGCGTGCCACTGCACTCCAGCCTGGGTGATGGAGTGAGACTCTAACTCTAAAAAAAGAATATCTTTTCTATTTTTATTTTGTTGAATTTTTATCATAAAAAGGTGTTGAGTTTTGTCAAGTGCTTTTTCTGCATCTATTCAATGGTCATGTGGTTCATATTCTTTATTAATAATGGCATCTTGATTGATTTTCAGATGTTAAGCCAATCCTGCATGTCTAGAATAAGCATACTTTTGTTCTTTTTTTAATTTCAGGGTTTTTTAATTAGATCATAATTGCTGTTTATTATTATTATACTTATTTTTAAATTGCTATTTTTGTCAGATATTAGTTTCATCTTCCATTTGATAGGAGTGAATTTAAATTTGTTTAAAAAGCTGAAGGAGATAAGGCTTACCATTCAATCTGTGTTGTATGTCTTTATGAATTGCTTAAACCTAATGTCACTCTCAGATGTTCTTTAAGAAACTTAAACTCTTCATTGACATAATCCCTGTCGGCTAATTTTTCTGGGAAGGTGCTTTGTAGTCGCGTATTAATGAATCTTTATATGATAACCTTGAACAGGCACGTGGAAGAGTTCAGTCCCAGAGCTGTCTACACCAGTGGCAAAGCGTCCAGTGCTGCTGGATTAACAGCAGCTGTTGTAAGAGATGAAGAGTCTCATGAGTTTGTCATTGAGGCTGGAGCTTTGATGTTGGCTGATAATGTAAGAACATTTAACACACTTGGATATGAAGAAGTCAGAATACTCCTTACCCTATCAGTAGAGCCTAATAAGTTTCCATTAAAAAGTTGCCCTTAAAAAGCACTCTTTAGTAAATAATTCAGTTTTGTTAACCTAGAATTTAAGCTGGGTGCAGTGGTTCAGGGCTGTAATCCCAGCATTTAGGGAGGCAGAGGTGAGAGGATTGCCTGAGCCCAGGGGTTCAAGACTAGCGTAACTTGGCAAGACCACATCTCTACAGTAAATCAAAAAATTAGCTGGGTGTGGTAGTGCACATCTTTGGTTCCAGGTACTTGGAAAACCGAGGCAGAAGGATAACATGAGCCCAGCAGGTTGAAGCTTCTGCACTCCAACCTGAGTGACGAGAGTGAGACTCCAACTCAAAAAAAACAAGCCCAGAATTTAACTGAGATTGTCATCGATCAGCAGCATTTCCTAAGCTTCTTTAGAATGTGTTACTTGCCTTGAGCATGTGTGGTTGCTATGACTAGTACTTCCCAGCATTTTTTCTTTTCTGTTTATTATTTATTTTTCTCTTTTGAGTTGGTGTTCTCAGTCTGTCGCCCAAACTGGAGTTCAGTGGCACAATCACTGCTCACCGCAGCCTTGACCTCCTGGGCTCAGGCAATCCTTCTACCTCATCTTCCATGTAGTCCTGAGAACCTGGGACTACAAGCATGTGCCACCATGCCCAGCTTATTTTTTGTAGAGATGAGGTCTTGCTATGTTGCCCAGGCTGGTCTTGAACTCCTAGGCTCAAGCGATCCTCCCACCTCAGCCTTCCAAAGTGCTGGGATTATAGGTATGAGCCACTGCACTCAGCCTTTTTTTTTTCCTTTCTAAGCCATGACATCCTTTTTTAAGTAGGTCTAGACACAGACACATACTGCACTTCGTGTGTGTTTGACATAGATGGATTTGATATGTGGATGAGTATATAAGTTGTAGGTTAAAAAAAAAAAAAAAGCAATGCTGTGGTGACCCAGAATGTCTTGATACTGAGGTTTACACAAGGTTTTGTTGTTGAGTAAAAGTGTGGTAAATGTCTGGATGTTTTAGTTTTCCTCTTAGTTTGAAGTCAGTTCTATAGTTTTTTCTAGGTCTTGGATCTATTGAAATATCTTGCTTGGAAAGGGGAATTAAGAATGCCTATTTGCCTACCTTCTACCTGTTGGAGAACAGAAGGGTCTCTGGTAGCAAACTTTGTGAGTTATTATTTTGCATCTAAAAAAGTATCTTAAGCTAGGTTTTTTGGTTGCAGGGTGTATGTTGTATTGATGAATTTGATAAGATGGACATACGGGATCAAGTTGCTATTCATGAAGCTATGGAACAGCAGACCATATCCATCACAAAAGCAGGAGTGAAGGTGCGTGTCCACTTCTCTTCCACTGCATCATGCCTTAGCCTTGTAGATTAAAGCAGTGCTAGAGAAGTTCCTCTGGATAAAATTCATTACTTCAACATGTAATGCTATTCATTAAAATGGAAAATACAGCCCTGAGAATTATTAATTCAAACTATAGATGTTGTACTATGTAAATGTGTTGCTATGACAGAAAGCAGAGGGAGTACTGATGACAGTTTTTAGCATTTCACTTACAAAATTTCAGTAAACAAAGTTTCTGTTTTCCTTGATAAAGCATGCTTCCAATTATAACAAAAATAACTGAAGATCAACAAATCATGTACTTATTTACTTATATCAGCAGATTATTTAAATGAAAATGATTAAATACAGTATTATAACCAACCTAGAGGCAATCCAAATTCTTAAAAATAAAAGCAATAGATTCGTGTAGTTATGAAAAATTTAAACAGTACATGAGAATAAACTGGTTTCAGCTACTTGGAAGGCTAAGTCAGAAGGATTGCCTAAGCCCAGCAGGTTGAGGCTGCAGTGGCCGTGAGCATGCCACTGCACTCCAGCCTGGACGACAAGAGACTACAGCTAAAAAACAAAATAAACTGAAAAGAAACTTTTCCCTGCACCAGTACATAGTCAAGAGGTATCTTTTGAGTTTGTGCCTCTTTTAAGATATTTTTAAGAGACAGGAGTTTTGCTCTGTTGCCCAGGCCAGAGTGCTGTGGTACAATCATAGCTTACAGCAACCTCAATCTCCTGGCTTTGAGTGATCTTCCTGTTTCAGCCTCCTAAGTAGGTAGGACTGTAGGCATGCGCTACCACACCTGGCTAATTTATTTATTTCTTATTTTTGTAGAGATGGGGTCTCTCTGTGTTGCCCAGGCTGGTGTTGAACTCCTAGCCTCAAACGATCCTCCCGCCTTGGCCTCCCAAAGCGCTGGAATTACAGGCCTGAGCCACCACACCCAGCCTAGGAATGTTTTATACATAAAAAAGCATAATACATATAGTTCCATACCAGCACATAGTAGATCAACTTTGATTTTTTTATTACTCTGTGGTATTCAATTATATGCACCACAGTTTGGTTCTGTAGAATGACATTTGAGTCATTTTCAATCTTTAGTATTGTAAACAATATTGCAGTAAACATCCTTGAACATGGCACCTTCCTGTACCTAGCTGCAAGATAAATTTCTAACAAGTTAATGGCTGAAAGGGTGTGCACATTATACTGCCAACATCATATAAAGTTCCTGTTTATGTGAAAAAAGATATCTCATTGTTTTAGTTTGTGTTTAATTATGAGTGAGATTGAATATTCTGTTGTATGTTTTATTGACCAGTTCTATTGTCTTTTTAAACTTGTCACAATTCTCCTTTTTCTGCTCAGGCTACTCTGAATGCCAGAACATCCATTTTGGCTGCAGCAAACCCAATTGGTGGACACTATGACAGATCAAAATCATTGAAACAGAATATAAATTTGTCAGCTCCCATCATGTCCCGATTTGATCTCTTCTTTATCCTTGTGGATGAGTGTAATGAGGTAAGCACATGAGCTGTTGCTTTTAGCTTTGTTTTTTGTTTTCAGTTTGAGTAAATGAGTGAGACAAGGCTGAAGGAGTTTAGCAGCTTTCATCGTGCCATGGGATTGGGCAAAGGATTTAGTGAGCAACTCAAAGTCATTTGAATCGCTGCTTCCACTTAATTATGTGAGGAATATTAAGTTTTTTGGTTTTTGTTACTATTTAATTCTCAAAAAAAAGAAGGAAGCAATTTACAGGTAATGCCCAACTGATATATTTTTATAACATTTTTTGTTGGTTGGTTTTTGTTTTTTCAGTCATCTTGAGAAAAAACTGGGATACCAAGGAAATTTCTCTTTTTCTCACATAATAAGTTATTGTCCTCCTATTTCTTGTTGTCAGGTTGTTGAATGTGTATAACTGTTTTTCCCTTCAACCGTCATTTTTAGGAATGAATACTGTAGACTGATTTTAATTGCTGAGCCTAGAGGTTCTACATTTAATTGAGTACAGTACACAGCTCTTTCTTACAGTGGAATTTTAGATGTTATCTAAATAAAGACTGCCTTCTAGTGGGGAAATGTTTGGGGGGCTTGAGGTTTTGTTTTGATTTTTGGTTTTTTTTTAAATTGGAATCTTACTCTGTCACCCAGGATGGAGTGCAGTGGCACACTCACGGCCACCCCAGCATCGACCTGTTGGGCTCAGGCTACCCTTCCTTCTCAGCCTCCCATGCAACTAGAACAACAGGCACATGCCACCACACCTAGCTAATTTTTGGATTAATTGTAGAGACAAGGTCTTGCTAAGTTGCCCGAGCTGGTCTTGAACCCCTAGACTCAGGCAATCCTCTTGCCTCTGCCTCTCAAAGTGCTGGGATTACATGTGTGAGCCACCATCCCTGACTCGAATTTTTTTTTTAAATAGTCTTGCTGTATTACCCAGGCTGATCTTGAACTCCTGGGCTCAAGCAATCCTCCCAACTTGGCCTCCCGAAGTGCTGGAATTACAGGCGTGAGCTGTTGTGTCTGGCCTTTTTTTCAGTATTAACCATTTTGTGATTTTTGTTTGTTTGTTTTTTGAGTTGGAGTCTCACTCAGTCGCCCAGACTGGAGTGCGGTGGCCGCTCCCAGCCACCATAGCCTCGACCTGCTGGGCTCCAGCAATCTTCCGCCTCAGCCTTCCGAGTAGCCGGAATTACAGGTGCGCACTACCACACCTGGCTAATTTTTTGATTTATTGTAGAGATGAGGTCTCACCAAGTTGCTCAGGTGTGTCTCGAACCCGTGGTCTCAGGCAATCCACTCACCTTGCCCTCCCAAAGTGCTGGGATTACAGGCTAAGCCACCGAGCCCGGCCTAGTTTGTGATTTTATCTTCAACATTTTGTGACTAAGAGCACTGTCTCTGAAGCTAGTCTACTCAAATCCTGACTTTGCTACTTACTGTGATCTTAGAAAATTACTTACCGGCTATCAGAAGGCTGAGGCAGAAGGATCGCTGGATCCCAGCAGTTGAGGCTGCAGTGGCCGGGAGCGGCCACTGCACTCCAGTCTGGGCGACAAAGTGAGACTCCAACTCAAAAAAAAAACAAAAGAAAAGTTATTTAACTACTCTTTGGGCCTCAATTTACTTAGTTGTAAAATGGAGATAGTATCATCTATCTAATAAGGTTTTTGTGAGGATTGCATGAGTCAGTACTTCTAGACATGCATAAGGCAATAATATCTGACATATACTCTGGGCCTATAAATGTTAGTTCTGCTATTGTTTTAAAAGTGAATTCGTCTCCTTTAGGTATATTCTTAGATTGGGATAATGGTGTGCATTTAAAAGTTTTAATTTTAGATCAAATTGTTCCCAAACTTTCATCAGAAACTTGATACCCATTAATTTTTCTATCTGTGGCATATTATAACTTGTTTTTAGCTATAGATTGTTTCTTACTGCCTAGAGTAGATATTACTGTGACTGATCAAAGTGATTTTCTTATTTTGAATTAGGTTACAGATTATGCAATTGCCAGGCGCATAGTAGACTTGCATTCGAGAATTGAGGAATCGATTGATCGTGTCTATTCCCTTGATGATATCAGAAGGTATCTTCTCTTTGCAAGACAGTTTAAACCCAAGGTAACCTGCTCTTTGTACTGGGATGAGGCATAATGGGTATATTAAGGTGGAATTTAGACAAATGTATTTGGAAATTAGAACAATGTATATGGAAATTAACTGAGCCTAGATTTTTTTACAAGTGTGTTGTTTGTGTTTTGAACAGTAGTTTGTTTTTATAGAAGAGTTTTGAATAGCAGTAAACTAGGACATTGTTTTATTTCAACCATTACTACTAAGAATCTGAAAATGGCGTCTGTGCCTAAGTCAGGAGTCTACTAAATGCTCTTGAATCTTTCTCTGAGGGTACCATTGGATTTCTCTAGGTCATGGTGAAGAATATGAATTACTATTTTATAGTAATTGATACTGTTTATTGAACTGGCTGTGTATTGGACCCAGGATACTTACCTAGACATAAACCTCCATAATGTGCATCTGTTTTGTTGCTTGGCATTTTCCTAAAATAGGATATGAAAAGGGAAAAAGTTGTTTCATTCTAGTTGAGGTTTTTACACTATTGTCTGACTTTACTTTTGGAAATTATTGCTAGTTATTAATTATCCATTATCTTCACTTGATTATTTGTAATATTGGCGTTGACTCTCACTGTCCCCAAAAAATTTAGTCTTTTTTTTTTGAGTTGGAGTCTCACTCTGTCACCCAGACTGGAGTGCAGTGGCCGCTTCCGGCCACCGCAGCCTCGACCTGCTAGACTCTGGCGATCCTTCCTCCTCAGCCTTCCGAGGCCGGAATTACAGGCATGCGCTACCACGCCCGGCTAATTTTTGATTTATTGTAGAGATGAGGTCTCGCTGCCCCAGGCGGGTCTCGAACCCGCGGGCTCAGGCAATCCACTCACCTCAGCCTCCCAAAGGCGTGGGATTACAGGCTGAGCCACCGAGCCCGGCTTTTTTTTTTTTTTTAATTGAGATCTCACTGTCTCCCAGGCTGGAGGGCAGTGGTGTTACCATGTGACAATCCTAGCCTCATAGTAGCCTCTACCTCCTGGGCTCAGGGATGCTTCTTCCTCAGCCTCCCAAGCTGGACTACAAGCACATGCCACCACACCCAGTTCATTTTTTATTTTGTAGATATGAGATCTTTCTATGTTGTCTAGGCTAATCTTGAACCCCTGGACTCAAGCAGTCCTCCTGCCTCGGCCTCCCAGATTTCTGGGATTGCAGGAGTGAACCACCATACCTCTGGCATGCTCTCTTAATATGCTGAGTTCTTGCTCTGAAAAACTGAGTATTCTTTGGATATAAGGCTTTCTGAAAGAGCTTTTTTTTCCCTCTAAGACAGCATGAGTTGATTCATTGAGCCTCAAGCAGAGTCTGAGCATTAATTTGTTTAATGAGCTTTGACGTCCTGATACATAGAAGACCTACATCTTTTTCCATTGCTTTGGCTTGTTAAGCATCTTTTAGAAATGGTCATTTGCTTAAATACTAAAACTTGTCTTCATTTTCATGACATTAGTACATGAAATCCACAGTCTTCTTGAATATTAGTATCTTTTGAAAGGCATTTCAATAGTAATTTATTGTCACTGACTTCTTGAAGTTTCAACTCTCTCAGTTCCCCCAAATGTTTTCATCAGGAAACATAAACTTATGTTTAACACAATTCTCATCAAGTTGACATGTTTCTTTAACTGTAGTAATGTTCTGAAACAGATTTCCAGAGAGTCAGAGGACTTTATTGTGGAACAATATAAACATCTCCGCCAGAGGGATGGTTCTGGAGTAACCAAGTCTTCTTGGAGGATTACAGTGAGACAGCTGGAGAGCATGATTCGTCTTTCTGAAGCCATGGCTCGAATGCACTGCTGTGATGAGGTATCAGAGTCACTTTGACATATGAGAGAAAAGAGATTTGTTGCCTCGTAGGCATGTTTTTAATCTTTGGTATATAACATACTAGAATGCACCTCAGATGTATTTTTATATAACTGTTGCGTGCTTGTAAGATATATGACCCTGGGATTTTTCCATTTGAGAAAGTTGCTGTCAAGCATTTATTGAGTGTAGTCGTTAGATTAATAGTAACGATAGTCCTGTCATAGGTTATAGAGTGCGTGGAGAGGCAAGTTACCATAAATGCCATTCATTAAGGAAAAATGTACTTAGACTTCACAATGTGCTAGTAGGCCTCTGGGCTGGGGATACAGATAAGATAACGTAGCCCCTGGCCTCAGAGGAACTCTCCTTGGGTTTGTATAATATGTGGTTTTTAAACTGTTCTTTGAGCCCTTGGTTCCACGAGTATAGGTAAAGGGGTAAAAGGGAGCAGTACAGAAGGGCATTCAAGCCTCCCATCTCTGCTTCGATCAGAGCAGCCTTGCCTTTGTCTAGTTTTACACAAGTTGGATGTATGCTTTTCTTTGAAAAAAGGGTTTGTTTTTTGTTTTTTTGATAGTGTGATTGAAGTATAATTTATAGAGGCAAATGCACAGCTTGGTTTTTTTGTTTTGTTTTGTTTTAACATCCTTCTGCCCATCCATCTTAAGATACAAAATATTTTCATAATATCAAAAAATTGCCTCATACTCTTTCCAGTCTTAGCCCTCTTCCACAGAAGTAACCACTACTCTGACTTTAATCACTATTTTTATCCCATAGATTAGGTGTTTGGTTTGGGGGGGGCATTTTTTTTCTTTTTACGTTTTCAAATTCTAATATAGTGCTTACTGTTGACAGTGTACTTTCACACTAATTTATTTAATCTACTTTGGTCACCTAACATTTAAGGGATACCTTTGGGGGACAAAAAATAAAAGAGAGTCCTTGCCTTCCGTTGTTGCTAATCTGGTGGTAGCAAGACATATTTAATTAAGCATGTAAAAAATGAGAGGGAGAATATGGTGATAGAACATCACAGAGTACAGAGATCAATTACTTTATTCCTAAAGAAGGGGGAGGGTTTATGGAGGTGCCGACATTTAAACACAATCACAGAAGGGTGTATAGAATTTTTATAGGCAAGAGACCTTGGGAGAAAGGGCATTCTAAAACCATGCTAACACTTGTACTTTTTTTTTCATTGTGATAGTTCCTGAAATGAGTTTCATAAACTGATACATGTTTTGAGGCAATGTCTAGGTTTTTCTTTTGTTCTTTTTAAAAACAATTAGTTTTTTTAATTAGGTAGCAAATTCACATATTAAAATATATGCGCACAAATATATTTTCTGAATGAAATTGAGTATCTACATATATTTAAGAGCTATTTCTATCTCCTTATATGTCCCTATTCATTTTTAATTACTTTGTTAGAAGGGCCTTCTTCATGCTATTATAAAAAAATCTTCCATGGTTTCTTCTAGCCCTTAGGTGGTTTTATTGTTTGCCTTTAAATCATCTAAACATACGATATTTATTCTGATGCAGGATGTGAAGTGTGAATTATTTGATTCTTTTTTGGCTAGTTTTCTAGTTGTTCCAACACCATTTAATGAACAATCTATCTTGTTCATGCTGGTTTGATACGCCTTTATTATATGTTAAATTGTTGGTTTGTTAGGATCTTTTTCTGGACTTTTCTGTTTCATTGAATCTGTCAGCTCCTCTTACTTTGGCACCATGATATTTTAATCAGTGGGTTTTATATTTAAATGTAGAGCTAGTCCCACTGCCTTCTTTCATCTGTTATGAACTTGGAAATCAGATTGCTTCGTTTAAAAATTTGATATTTTTATTAGTAAAACATTCAATTTACATATTAGCCTGAAGAATTGAAGACATCTTTATGGTGAGTTTTCCTGTTCAGTAACATTATAGCTAGTAGAATAGGTTAGGTTGTGCTACTAAAAAAAAATCTCAGCTGCTTAAAACAGACTTTTTTTTTTTTTTTTGCTTGTGCTACACATCCATTAGGTCATCAAGGGACTCTCCTTTTTGTATCTCTCAGAGATTCAGACTGATATAAGGGCTTGATCTTGTTTTATGCTTCCATGATGACAGACGGCAGAGAAGAGAAAAAGTGGTGGGCTATATGCTGTCTCTACTTTCTATCCAGAAATAACACTTCTACTCTCACTAACCAGAGCAATTAACATGGCCATCCCTAAGTTTAATAGAGAAGTCTGGCCAGTCGTGGTGACTCAAGCCTGTAATCCTAGCACTTTGGGAAACTGAGGCGAGAGGATTGTCTGAATCCAGTGGTTTGAGACCAGCCAGCCTGGGCAACTTGGCAAGACCTAATCTCTACAATAAATCAAGAAAAATTAGTCAGACATGGTGGCGTATGTAGTTGCATCAACTTGGAAGGCTGAGGTGGAAGGATCACCTGAGTCCAGCAGGTTCTGGCTGCAGTGGCCTTGAGCATGCCACTGCATTCCAGCCTGGGTGACAGAGTGAGACTCAGACTAAAAAATAAATAAATAGTTAGAGATATCCCTTTCTACCAGGTGCTCAGAATGAGTTCTGATGACTACCACAGGTATCGTTGTCTTTCTACTTAAGTCTTTTGTTTCACTCAGTAGTGTCTTCAACATTTCCTCATCTGTTTTTCAAGTTTCTTGTTGAATTTCTTGATATTTTTCCCTTTTTTTTCTTTTTTGTTTTTTGGTATTAAAGATAGTCTTTTTCCATTTCATTTTCTGTCTGGTTTCATTGCTGTGTAATATTCTATTGACTATTTCACCCATTATTCTCTTAGGCATTTTGATAGTTTCCAGTTTGGGTTTTTATGGATGTATATGTCTTTGAGTCCGTGTAATGTTTATATTTCCTATGGGTACATACCTCGTAGGAGTGGAATTGTTGGGACATTGATTATGCAGATGTTTAGTAAAAACTGTCAAACAGTTATATTAGTTTCTATTTTCACCTGCAGTGAATGAGAATTGTTTGATATTCTTGCCAACACTTGATATTGTTAGTCATTTTAGCCATCCTGGTGAATTTATAGTGTTGTCTCATAGCTTGTGAGTGCGTATGAGAGAATGTTTGTGAGAACACCAAAATGCCACTGTAATTTTGTCTGGAAATAATCTGTTTGGTATATTAAGAAGACTGCCTTAAACTCATCTTTGTTTAGGTTCAGCCTAAGCATGTGAAGGAAGCATTCCGGTTACTGAATAAATCAATCATCCGTGTGGAAACACCTGATGTTAATCTAGATCAAGAAGAAGAGCTCCAGATGGAGGTTGATGAGGGTCCAGGTGGCATCAATGGTGAGATGCTTGTTCATATGAATGTTCTGGAGTTAGGGATGAAAGAGTCTTTAGAGATGTCATGTGGTAGGCATGCACTTGTTGATGGTTATGAAGTCTGTGTAGCAAAAAGGAAAAAATAAATATAGAATACTGTTAACTCTTTACAAGTTGAAGTACTTTTTTTTTTGAGTAGGAGTCTCACTGTGTTGCCCAGGCTAGAGTACAGTGGCACACTCATGGCCACCACACAGCCTCGACCTGGTGGGCTCAGACAATTCTTCTACCTCGGCCTTCCAAGTAGCTGGAACTACAGGCTTGCCCCACCACGTCCAGCTGATTTTTGTTGATTTATTGTTGAGACAAGATCTTGCCAAGTTGTCCAGACTGGTCTCGAACCCCTGGGCTCAGGCAATCCTCTTGCCTTAGCCTCCCAAAGTGCTGGGATTATAGGTGTAAGCAGCCATACCTGGCTAACATTTAAATAGTTGATATAAAATACTGGGGGTGCCAAAAAAAAAAGTATGCACATTTTAAGAGGTGTTTGCCATAATCACAAGTGTCTGGATGCTGATTATAACCACTTTGAACACCTCTTGTAATTGCAGAAGTCAAACATGACTTGTATTCATCTTATTGACTGTTACAATTTTAACACAGTTTTTTCCTTTCTTAAAATGTGTAAACATTTTTTTGACATCCTCTGTATATATACTTGAAAGACTAAATAAGAAAATGCACCAAAATTGTGCTCATAGACTTAAATCCTCTTGGCCTCCACCCTTATTTGTATTGTTGTGTGACTTTTGAATTAAAATCATTTTTTAAGAATATTAGAACAAATAATAGAATTTCTAATTTTGTACATAATACTACAAATTGACTTTAGATGATGAATCTTTATTTCTTCTATCCCTTACATTTCTCTCAAGTTAGTTTTTTTTAAACACTTACCTCAAATTCTACTAAATTAGTTTTTGTCTTCACTAGTAGAGTTTATAGATTTGCTTTTAACTTGTGAAATTATGTGCTATGTATCACTGTATGCTTGTTTTAAAATTAGTATTAAATGTAATGTATTTATAAACCCTCAATCATAGAATGTTGGAGGCATAAAAACAAGATTTGTGTGGTTAATTTTTTACTTAGGTCATGCTGACAGCCCTGCCCCTGTGAATGGAATCAACGGCTACAATGAAGACATAAATCAAGATTCTGTTCCCAAAGCCTCCTTAAGGCTGGGCTTCTCTGAGTATTGCCGAATCTCTAACCTTATTGTGCTTCACCTCAGAAAGATGGAAGAAGGTGAGGTTGTACCTCGTGCTGCTTACGTGCTCAGCCATTTACATAAACTCTATATAGAGCAGTTCTGATGTCACACTTTTTTTGTTCTGCTAGTAGAGATGATAAATTGTTAGAAAAGCTCACTTTAGCCAAATAAACCTATAGAATATCACCATGTCTACCAGCTTGTATACCTCATTGTCAAAGGTTTATGGATCATTCTTGTTAATATTCTTAGCCTATCCTATTTTAATACTTTTGAAACAGAATTTGAGATCTCGTAATATGAAAAAGTATATACAAATGTTTTTACAAGTGCAAAATTAATTCTTTTTACGATGGCTTTATGCATTTATTTATTTATTTATTTTGAGTTGGAGTCTCTGTCACATGGCTGGAGTGCAGCCTTGACCTGCTGGGCTCAGGCGATCCTTCTGCTTTGGCCTTCCAAGTAGCTGGAACTACAGGTGTGCACCACCATACCCAGCTGATTTTTTTTTTTATTTATTGTGGAGACAACATCTCGCCAAGTTACCCAGACTGGTCTCGAACCCCTGGGCTCAGGCAGTCTTCTTGCCTTGGCCGCCCAAAGTGCTGGGATTACAGGCTTGAGCCACCATGTCCGGCCAGTAATGGCTTTATTTAAAACACTCCCAGGGTATGTATACTTAGAGGCAATTAATCGAGCCTAGAAATCTATATTATCAAATGGCCATTACAATAAAATCCTCTTCTGTTCATCATTAAAGTATAGTGTCTGGACACCAGTACACTTTCTACCCTTAACTGCTTTACCCTACTATTCAAAGTTTTGTCACCCTATAGTTAGCCACAGGGCAGAAGGAAGAATAGTGAATTCAAGGAGTAGAACTTGATATTTAAGTGTTAGATAATTCTTACTGGAAAGCTCCAAAGCTGGCTTTTGCTGGCTTCCCAGGCATATTTTATGATCACAGTATTGGATCTGCTATGAAGGAAGAGAGCATCATAGGTTGTCTTAGCTTACTAAAGATTTGAGCCCTGTAGTTTCTGTCCTTGTTCCCCTGGGAACTGTGGACCAGCGGGAGAAGAGAAGACAGCAACATAGCCACTAGGATACCTCAGGCTTTATCCCCCACTTCCTTCTCACTTAAAATGATATTATTTCTATGATAGTTATGTTATTCAGGTCCCAGCTTTTCTTGTGAATTGAGAGTTCTACCTTAGACTTTTATTTTTTTAATTTTTCTGAGAGACAGTGTCACCCTGCTGCCCAGGATGGAGTACAATGACACGATCATGGCTCACCACAGCCTCAAACTCCTGGGCTCAAGCAAGCCTCCTGCCTCAAACTCTCAAGTAGCTAGGACTACAGGCATGCACCACCACAGCTGGCTAGTTTTATTATTTTTGTAGAGAAGAGATCTTGCAATGTTGTCCAGGCTGGTCTCGAACTTTGGCCTCAGGTGATTCTCCCACCTCGGCCTTATGGTACTAGGATTACCAATATGAGCCACCGCACCTGGCCTTGGACTTTTTAAAGAAGCAGTCAGTTCAGTTGGTATGGCTGGATCTTGCTAAAATAAGCTAGTAGTTTATTTTGAGTAGACGCCTTGAAAAACTTCTTAGTAGACCCCAATTCTATAAAGTCTTCCCCTTTCCAAAGAGGAAAAATTGCATTTAAGAAGTTTTCCTTGGTGTTGCTTCATTCCTAATTTATGCTTTGAGTTTGCTGTTGGCAAACATTCTCATAGGTAGTGAAGCATAAGAAAATGAAGAAAGCTGGGCTCGGTGGCTCAGCCTGTAATCCCGTACTTTGGGAGGCTGAGGTGAGTGGATTGCCTGAGCCTGCAGGTTCGAGACCCGCCTGGGCAACTTGGCAAGACCTCATCTCTACAATAAATAAAAAAAAAAAAAAATTAGCCGGGCGTGGTAGCACTCGCCTGTAGTTCCAGCTACTTGGAAGGCTGAGGCGGAAGGATCGCCGGAGCCCAGCAGGTCGAAGCTGCGGTGGCCGGGAGCGGCCGCTGCACTCCAGTCTGAGCGACAGAGTGAGACTCCAACTCAAAAAAAAAAAAAAAAAAAAAGAAAGAAAATGAAGAAAAGGCCTTCATACCCTGAAATCTTAATAGCTTTAAGAACCTTGTTTCTTATCATCTCTATTTTATTACATTTTACTCCCCTTACAGGTGTGCTTTAATACAAGTGATATGACCGGTTAATTCAGGCTTATGCTGGAACATTGCAAACTTTATAACAGCAGATGTGCTTTCTGATGGGTTGATGGTTGTGTAATCTGTACATTATCTTCTATATGCAAACCCCAAGAGTTGGTGACACAATTTGCTAGGAGAATAATTTAATCCTTTTAAAATGTATTTTTTGATGCAGAAGAGGACGAGTCAGCGTTAAAAAGGAGCGAACTTGTTAACTGGTACTTGAAGGAAATCGAATCAGAAATAGACTCTGAAGAGGAACTTATAAATAAAAAACAAATCATAGAGAAAGTCATTCATCGACTCATACGCTATGTATGTATATAACTATGCTTTGATGTTAGAGAGGGAGTTTATGTTTTCATCTGTACAGGTTCATTAGTGGAGGGGTGTGTGTGTATGTGTGTGTTGGAGTCTCATTCTGTCACCCAGGTTGGAGTGCAGTGGCACGCTCACTGCCACCGCAGCCTCAACCTGCCGGGTTCAGGCAATCCTTCCGCCTCAGCCTTCCAAGTAGGTGGAACTACAGGCATGAGCTACCATGCCTGGCTTATTTATTTAATTTACTATAGAGACAAGGTCTTTCCAAATTGCCCAGGGTAATCTCAAATCCCTGAACTCAGGCAGTCCTCTTACCTCCCCCTCCCCTTCCCAAAGTGCTGGGATTACAGGCGTGGGCCATCGTGCCCCGCTCATTAGTGAAATTTTTTTTGTTTCCTTATTTTGAATCATTGAAGTGTAGTCAGATGAGTTGTAAAATAAGAAAATTGACAGAAGTAAATGACTTACTTTCCCTACTGAAACAAGCAGAACTTAGGTTATATCTGGGAAGGTGGCTATGGGTTCTTACTGTCTGGGTGTTTTTAACCTTTTCTACTCCCATCAGCCATGTGCACCCTTGGTCATACAGTAGATCTTCAAGCTTCCTGGGTACTGTCAACTGTTTTCTGTTGCATATTCCTCATTGCCTTAGTTCCTACCCAGCCTAATAGCCACTCTTTTTTTCTTCTCATTATCACTCCCTTCTAAAGCACCAACACTTTTCTTATACTACCAGCTTTTTTCCTGTTTGACTTGCTTGGCAAAACGCCAGCCTTGGTTAAATATAATTCTTTTTTTTTGTACCCTTATCCAAGCAGTTAAAAGTATCTGGAGAAATGCATACAACCATGTGCCTAATCTTCTTTAAATTGATGACCACAAATCTCAAGTGGACAATACTGAACTTTTGCCTTATCTGCCTCATGATAGCACTGCCCAATATTTACTTTTCCCTGGTCGGTTTTCTCCCCCACTCTTTTTTTTTTGAGTTGGGAGTCTCACTCTGTCGCCCAGACTGGAATGCAGTGGCACGCTCCCAGCCACCGCAGCCTCGACCTGCTGGGCTCCGGCGATCCTTCCACCTCAGCCTTCCAAGTACCTGGAATTACAGGCGCGCGCTACCATGCCCGGCTAATTTTTTTTTTATTTATTGTAGCGATGAAGTCTCACCAAGTTGCCCAGACGGGTCTTGAACCCGCGGGCTCAGGCAATCCACTCACCTCAGCCTCCCAAAGCGCGGGATTGCAGGCTGAGCCACCAAGCCTGGCTTCTCCCCCACTCTTACAGGACATTGTGTACCTTCTGTCCACTTCTTTTAACTTGCCGTTCTCAGTACTCAGGCTGTCAGCAGCACTTGTCACAGTTGTTCACTCCTAGAAGTACTGTCTGTACTTGCCTTTGGAATCACCATGTCCTCCTGGGTCTTCTGTCTTACTGATTATTCCCTTACAGTTTATTCCCTCTTAGCCCCTTTCCTGAATCTTCCTCTTTTTGCTCTGCTCTGAGATCATTTACATTTATTACCTAAATGATTTCATTTGGTTTATTAATTTACCCGTCTGCTGATGACTTCTAAGTCTGTGTTGCCAGCTCTCATCTCCAGATGTGTATAACCAGCTGCCTACTGGTGAACTGACAGGCATCTTAATGTGTTCAGAAACAGTTGTTTTCTCTACACTTATTGAAATGCTATGGGCCAAACCCCTTGGAATCATCTTTAATTCCTTAATTTCACTTTCCCTCACAACTCCTCTTCAGCAGCAAGTTCTGTGAGCGCTGCTTTCAGTGTGTGTATATTTTTTTGTTCTCTTTTTACCACCTTCACCCACCCACCCAAGCCACCATGCCTGGACTTTTGCAGGAGCCTGGTAACTGTCCATTTTTGTTTTGGCTTCCTGCTCAATGATGCTTTTTAAATCATCTTTTTTTTTTTTTTGAGTTGGAGTCTCACTCTGTTGCCCAGTACAGTGGCATGCTCACAGCCACCACCGCCTCAATCTGCTAGGCTCAGGTGATCCTTCTGCCTCAGCCTTCCAAGTAACTGGAATTACAGGCACGTGCCACCATGACTGGCTAATTTTTTTTTTTTTAATTGTAGAGATGAGGTCTCACCAAGTTGCCCAGGCTGGTCTCAAACCTGTGAGCTCTGAATCCTCTCACCTTGGCTTCCCAAAGTGCTGGGATTATAGGCGTGGTCTACCATGTCTGGCCAACATCATTTATTTTACTGCCTATCTTCCAGTGCTTCTGTCATATTATAATAAACTCTAGCCTCTTTGCCATGGCCTGCAGAACCCTACACAGTCTAGCCCCATCTATCGTATTCACCTCATTTTGTAGCACTCTTCCTTGCTTATTCCACCCCAGTGACACTGGTCTTGTTCCCTTGACACCAGACATGAGGGCCTTTGCACTCACTCTTTGTCTCTTTCCCCAGATACCCTCCTATTTTCTGGTGTCTGCTCAAATGTTTCCTCTTCAGAGAAGCCTCTCTTGCCTAGCCTGTCAGAATAGCAGCCCTCTGCTCTTGCTGTCACCCTGTTTTGTTTCTTCATAGTGCTTATCATTGTCTGGCAGTATATTCTTTATCTCTCTCAGAATGTAAGCTCCTTGAGGGCAGAGACTTCACTTTGTCTACTACTGTGTCCCTAGGACCTACAGTGGTACCTAGCACATAGCAGGATCAGATATATGTTGGATGATTGAACTTTTCTATCAAGTGGCAGATACTTAACCATCATGCCAATTTACTCTATAGTACTCACTATGTAAATATTACAGATGTCATGTATCAGGTTGTGTCATCTGAAAGACTTTACCTGTGAGGATAGATCAGTGTATGATTGTGGGGGTAGGAGGGCATGGAGTCAAAACAGCTACTCAGATCAGGATCCAGAGTTGTTTTCTAGCAGTGGACAGGCCAGCCTTTGTTTTCTCTTGGCATCAGCGCAGTGTAAAATAAAATTAACAAGGCAAGGAATCCACATTAGGACTTTGGAACACATTGTGAAACTAACTAGTCTAAGCTTGCATTTCCTTTTTAAATTTGGCTCACCACCTGAACTAACTTGCTACAGAAAACCAGAGCGCTTGTACTGTGCTGATGAGATGTGCTTCCTTTGAAATTGTGTTAGCATATAGAGTGTCGTCTATCTACAGGTATACATTTGAAAGGGCAATAGAAAAGGCGTCCAGTCCCCCCTAGTGGCATCAACGCTTATACTATGGAACTTTGCCAGACTTCTTAGAATCAAAGCACTGTTTCCTGAATTCCTTTCTGTGGGCTTGGCTATAGGAGCCCTTCTCATTTTTGGACATTTTTGACTGACTTACACTATGGACTTGAAGTCTGTAACCAAGATTTTAAGACAGATAACATGTTGTACTTTTTTTTTATTAGCTGAGAGTGAAAAATGTTCCAGGTGAATTTATTTGTAGATTCTACTAACTCAACTATGAATGGGTCATATATGGAAAAGTTCAGTGGCCAGTAATAAAAAACTGACAAATAATATTACATATTAAACAGACTTTTAAATATGGGAGAATTTTGTAGAATTCAAATTTAAGCATTACCTCCTGTCTTATTTTGAAGTTATATTTATAAGTATTTTACGTAATATGCCAGGAAACCTTGTTTGGCTGGGCATGGTGGCTCATGCCTGTAATCCTAGCACTTTGGGAGGCAAAGGCAAGAGGATTGCTTGAGCCCAAGGGTTCAAGACCAGCCTGGGAAACTTGGCAAGACCTCATCTCTACAATAAAATAAAATTAGTTGGGCATGGTGATATGTGCCTGGAGTCCCGGTTTCTTGGGAGGCTGAATCTGAAGGATCACCTGAGCCCAGCAGGTTGAGTTTGTGGTGGCTGTGAGCATGCCACTGCACTCTAGCTTGGGTGACAAGAGTGAGACGCAGACTCAAAAAAATAAAATCACTGCTTATTGAGTTTGCTCATATATTTCTCTTTTTGCTTTTTTTTTTTTTTTTTTTGAAATTACAGTTTATTTAGAAAGTAAATTAGAGAAAATAGGAGATTCACCTCTTCAAGGTAGGGGAGGGGGCCAAAACTAGGAAACATAGTGACCATAGTTCAAAGAGCCATGTGGCCAGACCAGAGTTTAGCAAAGAAATGACCACTAGTATATTTCTTAATTTCCAAAAAGGTTTATGGTTTGAAAAGGTCAGCATCCTAATGGGAAGGGAATTTAGCAGAACCTTTTCCTAGGATTTCTGGTGGGGAAATGAAAGTAAGTGTCAGTAGCAAACATTCCGGAGAAGGGCCAAGTCTTGTGTATCTGAACATTTTCATAATACTGCTGGAGACCTGAGGACAAATATTTGTGTTTCACAGGATCATGTTCTAATTGAGCTCACCCAGGCTGGATTGAAAGGCTCCTCAGAGGGAAGTGAGAGCTATGAAGAGGATCCCTACTTGGTGGTTAACCCCAACTACTTGCTCGAAGATTGAGATAGTCAAAGTAACTGACCAGAAATGAGGAACTGTGGCACACGTCCTGGACTGGTGCCCAGATGGAGCTCTACTAGGAAGAGAAAATGTTCTAGGAGCAGCGCTTCTGGATTTGTTTTGAGAAACAAGAATGGATTTGATGGTCCCGTGTGTCACATTTCTGTCACATGCTTTTATGCCAACACAGGCTTCAGCACTTGCTTTAGTGTGCTTCTTGCCAGTGAAGTTGGAACCAAATAATGTATGGCTTCTATAACACCTTTGTTTTCATAGGTAGGAAAAGGCCACTTTTATGGCATATGGTATCTTACTAAGGAAATAACTTTTATTCAATTGTCATCTGCTTCTATTCATCATAATAAAATAACTTGTTCTGAAGATGTATATTGGATTTATTTCTACTCTGATTATTGCTTTTGTCAACTTGTGAAGGTGAATCTTTCCCCTTTTTGCTTAATCTGGGGTAAAGAGGTAGAAGTAAGTCATTATGGGTTAGGTTTCTGTGAAGAGTCATTAGAGAATCAGTATAAAAACAAAGTTGAGATCTCACCCCCAGGTTGGACATGGTGATATGTGCCTGGAGTCCCGGTTGCTTGTAGCTCACCTCAGCCTTGACCTCCTTTGCTCAGACAATCCTCCTGCTTCAACCTTACAAGTAACGGACTGCAGGCACACCACCTTCCCTGGCTAATTTTAAAAATTTTTCTGTAGAGATGAGCTATCTATGTTGCCCAGGCTAGTCTTCCTTGGCCTCCCAAAATGTTGGGATTACAGGCAAGAGCCACCACACCTGGTCTCAGTTTCTTTTTTTTTTTTTTTTCTGAAGTAGTTTATAAAATGTATTGCACTTTTTTTGATTCTTTTCTTTTTTTTTTTTGAGTTGGAGTCTCACTCTGTCACCCAGACTAGAGTGCAGTGGCCGCTCCCGGCCACCACAGCCTCCACCTGCTGGGCTCCGGCGATCCTTCCGCCTCAGTCTTCCAAGTAGCTGGAACTACAGGCGCGCGCTACCACACCCAGCTAATTTTTTGATTTACTGTAGAGATGAGGTCTCGCCAAGTTGCCCAGGCGGGCTCAGACAATCCACACTCCTCAGCCTCCCAAAGCGCGGGATTACAGGCTGAGCCGCCGAGCAGCTTTTTTATTCTTTAGTAATATTTTTGCTCTGTGTCTTAGTGACAATTTCTTGGGGTTGTTTTCAAATTGCCTTTTTAAGGGAAATAGGTTATTTGCTACATTACAAACTGCCCCAAAATTTTATGACCTTCCAGGAAAAATTATTACTGTTTATGATACTAACAGTTCCTGAGACTGGCAGTTCCTGAGCTTAGCTGTTATCAGTATGTTCATGATGTAGCAATTCCTATTTTTGCAGCTTTTAGCAACAGATGGCATTTTGGAGCCTGCAGGGCTAGTTAGGAAAAAGTGATTCTGTGTGGTGAGTTTACAAATAGTAACTTTGTTCTCCCATGACTTGGAAAGAATGGGTTGAGGGGAGCTGGAAATGGTTGAGAAGTTTTATAGCAGATGCAGGACATAAATGCCTATCGATATGTCTCTGATTAACGAGAGGCCTTGACATTGGGATGGGGAAACCTCCAGGTGCAGGATCTCAAACTTCTGTGGGGGGAGGGAGAAGGGGCTCACTTCTCTTAGGAAGAGCGGCTTCGATGAGGAAAATGGGGCAGAGGCCCTGAAGATAAACAACCTGACTGGGACTTGAGCTTATTAATATTTACCCAAAGGAAAGGACAGATGCATCCATTTTTGATTAATCTGTCCTCTCCCCAATCTTGCTGTTGATGAGAGTGGCAGCCCTGAAGAGAGGTGGTCGTTATTGCAAAGCCCGTTTTTGCACATCTGAGTATGCGTGCTTATGTTTCCACACGTTCACTTTACTCATGTGGCACTTGTCAGGGAGATGAAGTGGTTAATGACTAATAGATCATATTTGAGCTCTTTATGAAGAAAATTGGACAATTTTTTTTTTCTGGAGTTGGAGTCTCACCCAGGCTGGAGTGCAGTGGCACAATCATGGCCCACTGCAATCTCAAACTCAGATTCAATCCCCGCACCACAGCCTCCCGAGTAGTTGGGACTACAGGCGCGTGCTACTATGCCAGGCTGACTTTTTCATGTTTTTGTAGAGACAAGTTCTCACTATGTTGCCTAGGCTGGTCTCAAAATCCTGACCTCAGGCAGTTATCCTGCTGCTGTCTCCCAAAGTGCTAAGATTACAGTCATGAACCACCACCCCCAGCCTAGACAAATGTTTAAAAGGTGAATAGATGTAATATTCTGGAATGTAAAGATTTGAATATAAGTTGTCAACTGATCTCTAAGGTGATTTTAACCAAATCCCAGTAGATACCCATCAATGAAATTATTACCCAAGTTATGGCATAGCTATGCTGTGGGCTACTCACAAAAATGTAGACCTAGATGTTCTGAAGTGGAAATTTCTCCAGGACACATAAAAGAAAGTGCTGATTCAGCCAAGGAGATTCTAGGGAAAGGAATGATGGGAGCGGACTTGTCCTATCTGAAAGCAAAAAGTACCATGCTGGTGCAGAAATGAAAACGGATTGGCACAGGAATAGATCAATCAGTCGTAACAGTAGAATGTCCAGAAACATCTACGTATGTATAGGGCCTTTGTTTCTGATAAGGTGACATTTCACACAAAGTTAAAATTCCTGTAATCCCATGCTTTGGGAGGCTGAGGTGAGTGGATTGCCTGAGCCCGCGGGTTCGAGACCCGCCTGGGCAACTTGGCGAGCCCTCATCTCTACAATAAATAAAAAAATTACCGGGTGTGATAGCACTCGCCTGTAGTTCCAGCTACTCGGAAGGCTGAGATGGAAGGATCGCCGGAGCCCAGCAGGTCGAGGCTGTGGTGGCCGGGAGCGGCCACTGCACTCCAGTCTGGGCGACAGAGTGAGACTCCAACTCAAAAAAAAAAAAAAAAAGATCTAAAGATAAAGGGGGTGCAAACATACACTTAGAAGGTATAAGTTCTAATGTTTCATAGCAGAGTAGGGTGTGTATATTTCAAGGTAGCTAGAAGAGAGAACTAGAAATGTTCCCAGCCTACAGAAATAATAAAAAATACTCAAGGCAATAGATACCCCGGTATTCTAACTTGATCATAAGACATTCTATGCATATGAAAAATACCAATATATAAAATGTTATGTATCAATTTTTAAAAGGAAATTTTTTTAAAAATCTAAAGAAAGACAATATGACTTTCATGAACCTTCTCCCTCTCTGCTACTCCAAAGACATCTGATCCTACCGTAAACTGGACTTAATTCTACCCTGTCAAAAACGTGTTACTAAAAAAATACTCTTTTCTAGGAGTATTAACCTAGTACTAGTACTAGCCACCACACCCAACTAATTATTTCTTTTAGAGACAGGGTTTTGCTGTGTTGCCCAAGCTGGCCTTGAACTCCTGGGCTTAAGCAATCCTCCCAGAAGTGCTGGGATTACAGGCATGTGCTCCCACACCAGCCACAGGAATTGTTATTTTAAAATTATTGAGCATGTGATGATCCATTAAATTGCAAGATATGTAAAAGGTCATTAAGCAAAATATTGTCAAAGTCTAAGGCCAACGTGGATACTTAATAATTTGCCTTGATCTCTGAGCTTTGCAGTGCAGTGTGAATTCAAGCAGCTATAGATCCATTAGTAAATGAGATAAATTTAGTATAGTTCAAACAATGATTTAAGTACATTTCCCCTGATAATTCTCTTTTCCTCTGATCGACTTGCATGAAGCTTTGTAAAATGTACCCCATAAATATGTACAATTATTGTGTATCAATAAAAAAATTTCAAAACAATACTTAAGTAGATTTGATATGAAATTTTTTAAAAACCAGAGAACCAGGCAATATATATCTTGAAAACACCAGAAGCTTAGCTGGGCATGGTGGCACGTGCCTGAAGTTCCAGCTACTTGGAAGGCTGAGACAGAAGGATCTCCTGAGCCCAACAGGTCAAGCCTGTGGTGGCCGTGAGCATGTCACTGCACTCCAGCCTGGGCAACAGAGTGACACTCCAACTCAAAAGAAAAAAAGATAAAGAAAACACCAGAAGCTAAATTTAAAAGATCAGGACATTTTTTTCTATCATGTTTTATATGTGATATCCAAACTCTATTAAAAGTTTTCATGTCACTAATAAGATTAAAATGGATAAAGAATATGAACATAGATCTCAGAAGAAAAACAGATGACTGATTAATATGAAAAGCTTCACTTCTAAGTAATCAGAAAATTAAAAAGCAAGGAATAATATTTTCATTCTTCAAGGTGTTAAACATGTAGTTTTATACCAGGTATTAGCAAGGCGGATCGATTTAGGTACACTTCTAACTGTAGATGGGATTTAAATTTGAAGACGCCTATTTTGGAAGTCTGCATTTCAATTAATACACAAATTTAAAACTAATCAACGTTCAATATGCAAGAGGTTAATGGAATGCTGTGCATCTCTTGAAAAGAGGTGGGTCCACGTGTTCTGATTAGACAAAACTCCAAGAACTATTAAGTGAAAAAAAAAAAGCTGAGAAACAACACATTATGGCACAGTCCCAGGTGTGTTAAATTGTCTTATATTTTAAATATTATACACATATGTTTGTACTATATATAATAATAATAATAAATTACTGAGTTGCATTATTCTTAACATGCTATCAGAATGACCCAATTAGTCCCCAGATAATTTGTAAGACAAAAATGTGGAGAACTTTTTTTGTCAGACATTTTTCAGGTTCCTCTGCTAAAATTGTATAGGAAGTTTGAGGTTTCTGTGTCATCTCTTCTGATCTTTAAATTTTAAATATTACATGGGTGAACCATGTACTGATATCATGATCATAGATAACTCAGTTAAATATTAAATGTTAATAATCTCTTAGCATTTTACAACTTCAGTTGTAGTTATAAAGTAAGGATTCCTCATACCTGCTAACAGTCCCTTGAAAATGGAACTGTCTTGGAATGTCGTTTTGATTGTCCTCCTAAGTTTTTCGTGCGGGGGGTCGGACTGGGAATCTGATAGAAATTTCATCTCTGCTGCTGGTCCTCTAACCCATGATTTACTGCACAACCTGAGCAGTCTACTGGGAAATCAGGGTTCTAGTTTTGTAGCAGGAGACAAGGACATTTATGTCTGTCGCCAGCCACTGCCCACTTTCCTGCCAGAGTACTTCAGCAGTCTTCATGTCAGTAAGGTCACCCATTATAAAGTCTTTCTGTCGTGGGCACAGCTTCTCCCAGCAGGAAGCACCAAGAATCCAGATGAGAAAACCATGCAGTGCTACCGGCGACTCCTTGAGGCCCTCAAGACTGCGCGGCTACAGCCCATGGTCGTCCTGCACCACCAGACCCTCCCTGCCATCCAGAGCAGCAGAGCCTTCACTGACCTCTTTGCTGACTATGCCACATTCTCCTTCCACTCCTTTGGGGACCTAGTTGAGGTCTGGTTCACCTTTAGTGACTTGGAGGAAGTGATCAAGGAGCTTCCCCACCAGGAATCGAGAGCTTCACGTCTGCAGACCCTCACCGATGCCCACAGAAAAGTCTATGAGATTTACCACAAAAGGTTTGCTTCTCAGGGTGAGTACGTGTCGACCCCGAGGGCTGATGCCCCTTCCTCATCCCCCTTAGATGGGGTTTGGCATTTCTTCCCGCTCACCTCCCGTAGTCCTCTTGTATCTACACCTTCAGAGAAGTTCATATCGTAGCGATTTCCCAGTGAAGACAGGAAGGCATAGCTTATATTGCATAATGCTCAGCACTTCCTTTAAATAATGTCTCTCTCTCTCTCTCTCTCTCTTTCTTTTTTCCCTTTTGAGTTGGAGTCTCACGCCATCACCCAGGCTGGAGTGCAGTGGCATGTTCACGGCCAACCCAGCGTTGACCTTCTGGGCTCCGGGGATCCTTCTGGCTCAGCCTTCCAAGTAGCCAGAACTACAGGCACGCGCTACCACGCCCGACTAATTTTTTGATTTATTGTAGAGACAAGGTCTCACAAGTTGCCTGGGCCAGTTTCGAATCCGTGGGCTCAGGCAATCCTCTCACCTCGGCCTCCCAAAGTGCTGAGATTACAGGCTTGAGCCTAAACAATGTCTCTTAAACACCCCTTACCCAGTCTTGAGTTGTGTAACCTCTAAATGTCTTACTGTTCTTCCTATCTGCTGTCCTGCCTCCCCGACTCTTCCAACGCCTCAGGATTACCTGTTCTCCTCCTTCAGTTCCCCTTTTCTTATGAAAAGCAGTTTAGATGTTCTAGTTGGAGCTTACATTACAGCAAGTGAGACAGTCGGATACAAGATGAATGATATCCTGACAGGTAGTAGGAAGAGTGTCATTGTAATTGTTCATACACTCACTTCACAGGTAACTTGAGGTTCTGATTCAGGAGGTCTAGACAGAACCAGGGTATTTGTGATTTCTTTTTTTTTTTTTTTTGAGTCAGAGTCTCACTCTGTCACCCAGGCTGGAGTGCAGTGGCGCAATCAGCCTCAACCTGCTGGGCTCCGGCGATCCTTCCACCTCAGCCTTCTAAGTAGCCGGAACTACAGGCGCGTGCTACCATGCCCAGCTCATTTTGATTTATTGTAGAAATGAGGGCTCACCAAGTTGCCCAGGCGGGTCTCGAACCCGCGGGCTCAGGCAACCCACTCACCTCAGCCTCCCAAAGGCGGGGGATTACAGGCTGAGCCACCGAGCCCGGCTATATTCTACTTTTTAAACTTAACATATTGTATGAATATGTTCTCATTCTGTTAAATAGAGAGAGCATGATTTTTAATGTTCTTACAGAGTCCTGTCATGTGAATGGATCATAAAGGTTAAAACATGTAGTGAAATTCATTGAGTAGTGAAATTCATGGAGACAAAAACGAGCATAGCCAGCGACTGAGAAGAAGGGAGAATTTTTTAAAGGGTACAGTTTCTGTTCTGCAAGATGAAAAAGTTCCGGAGAATGATTGTGCAAGATGTGACTATATTTAATAATACTGAACTGTGTACCTCAAAATAGTTAAGACAAGCCAGGCTCGGTGGCTCAACCTGTAATCCCGCACATTTGGGAGGCTGAGGTGAATGGATTTCCTGAGTCCGTGGGTTCGAGACCCGCCTGGGCAGCGAGACCTCATCTCTACAA